GACCTCCGTCCAAGGCGAGAAAACGGTTGCGAATTTCAATGAACTGCAGGCCTGCACAGATCAATCGGGTGGTTGGTAACACTATGCTTGACGTTAGAAATTGTGCCTTTGCGGGGTGCATGTGATACTGCTGTGTGTTGTTTTCCGTACCCAATGTTTGGAGCAAGTATTTGTTGATTTGATTTCATCTTCAAGACCAGTTTGAGGTTCAATCTAGTTGTGTATTTGCCTGCATATGTAGGAGTAGGATTTATTTGAATCCGGACTGGGTTCATCATTCCGCGAATTTGGAACACCATGCCTGCCGTGGGTTTCAGGGCGCACGCTCCGCTTCAACAAGAAAAAACATGTTTTTCTTTCCTTTCCACAGCAGTCCACGAATACGAGCCATGGAGCGAGTGCAAACAGTGGTGCTGGGTGCTGGCGTGACCTGCCTTGACTCTCCTTCGATCTCGTTTCGATCCCACGAACCTTCAGCCGTGGCTTCGGCTTCGGCGAAAACGGATCGTTGGACGGATCAACTTGGGTTTGGAGGCATCGTTCTCCTCAGTGATTCCAAAGACCAAAGACCAACGCACCCGAACGATGGTTCACCTGGAAATGACTTGTTATGGAGCTTCGATGTAGCAGGATACAGCAGCCGCTGATTGGGCGGATTGTGTGGGTCACCAATTTTGCGAGGACTGTATGTTGTGATCCACACTGTTTGTCGGAGAACTTGGACAATTCTTGAGCAATTCTGATTGCTCTCCCTACTTCAGGATTACACCTAGTGGAGGATGACTGCTTGCAAAACAGTCTTTGCAATTCCTACCCTGAAGTGAGGTAAAAACTTTGCACATACACCTAGTTAGATCCGGCCCATTCCCATGGCGTCCTGCTGGTCAAATATAACTTCAAGCTGACTGCTGTAAGCCAAGCAAACAAATGCGACTAGTCGAAGGTGGCAGTGGAAGTGTTCCGGGCTGGAATCACTTGCGATTACTCTGGTTGGAGTTCTATGTGGAAAAGTTTCCGTCACCATCCTATCCATTTCCAGAGTTTGTTTAGTGGAGATCATTTGTTTTTTCTTCTTCCCAATGTTTCTCACACAAAGACAACTTGTTTCTGATGAGACGTGCTTGTACTGGCAACCTGGCGACCTGTCTCATCATTAACAACACTTGCAGCGAACGGTTCGAATCAAGCTTGCCCCACAACAAAGGGAACCGATTTGTTGGCTTGGCTCCGTTGGAGTTCGGCTCCGTTTGAGGTGCTTGGACTCGCTTGTGCACGAGCCTTGGCCAAAACCAGGGAGGTGGTGCTTTGCGAGCTCAATGCCGCAGTTGGGACAGGCGCTGCAGTTTCTTTCTGAAGAACTTCCAGTGGTGTTTGCTGAGTCATGATGACTTTCTCGGTGGAGTTGCCGAGTTGCCTGATTCTTGGGGTACTTAAGACGTCCCTTTCATTTGGACACCACACTCATATCCGCTCTCACTTTGTCATCCGATTTGCAGGCATATCTAGCCGCAACAGACGCTTGACTGGTTTCAGTAGACATGGACAACTCATCAGATTTCTTCCATGCGTGGAGCATTTGCTCCCGTGCGTGAAGCATTTGTCAGAATTTTTGTTTTGTGCTGAGTTGATCATGGTTGAGGTGCATAGATTGGTGAGATGGGAAGCCAACCTTGAAGATTCTAGAGCGTTTTTGGACAGTGTTAGAACCTGCACTGCAACCTTTGTCAGCCTATATGTTTATAATACATCTAGGTTCTGACCTGCAAAGTTGTCTTGGGCTGCGACCTGCCAAGCCTGAGGTGAAGTAATTCATGCAGGCCTTTACTATCCACAAGGAAGTCGCAAGGCCGCGCGGTGCGTTGAGAGTTTCCGCACAATCCCGCAATTGTGGTCTTAGGAGTCTTAGGATTAGTTTTTTTTCGTGGCACAGTCAGAGTGACCCAGGAGACCTTGTTTTTGTGGCTTCTCTAAGCGGAGAGCAACACTCAGAAGCACAACAAGTACCTTAGCAAATAAATTTTGTTTCTGATCATCATGTTAGTAGCTCATGACTTTTAGTTGGTGCCTTCTTGATCTCCTTTCCCTATCAGGCCCTTCACTGCGTTCGCGGATCTGAGATGCTCCGCCACTTCTGCAAGGACCGTGACGTCAACCACAGAGCCTTGGTTTGTGCTACACGAGGGCTACAACGATGAAGAAACATGTTGTGCCAAACAGTGTTTCTTTTGTGGCTGTGGACTTGGGGGTGGCGAAACAAAAAGCAACTAGACCCAATGGATCAGGTTTTGGTTTTAGTTGTATTTTTCAGCCAGTGGTTTGTTGGGCATAGCATTTAGAATCCCACTTCAGCCAGAAAGTACAAGAAGCCATTATTGCCATCTAGAAAGTGCTGTTGTGTTCGCTGGCCAGCAGCCAACACCAACATTGCAAACCGAACACAAAGTTTCTGCACTCAGGCCCGATGAGCTTTTCCTTCGATTCTGGGAAATTCATTAAAAACAACAACATGTATCTATTCTCAGTTCGAGGGCATGGAGCACGATCTGTCCCTGGACACCGTGGACCACGGTGGCACCGGCCTCCACCGTGGACCACGAGGCCTTTGTGGAAAGCTGGTGGTGGCCACAAGTGAGGCGCAGGTGGCACAGCTCAGGGTGCTGGAGGCCAAGGCCCGGAGGATGGGAGACTTTCCAGATGTTGTGCCCTTGGCTCATTGATGCCTTGGGTAGGGCCCAATTTTGATTTGAAGGGACTCCAGATACATAAGAGGTGGAAACTTCAACATCTTGAGTTGGTTTTACTTGTTGTTTGGATAACCTCAGCACACCTTCTCAGTGTTGAAACAAGCCAAGTCGTGAGCTGGTTGAGGTTGAGCTAGCTGCATGGTAGCCCTCGTGTTGGCCGAGTTAGGCTGCATGGTAGCCCTCATCTGAAGGCGTTGGACTTCAGCCTTCAAACCTCACCCTTGGTGGGGTCAAACCTGGGAGTTCTGACTGTGACTATTTGCTTTGTTTCGCTTCAGTGCTGCAGATCTCTGTCCCAGGCGGCTGCCAATGGTGTGAGGTTGCAGCGGAAAAGTCCAGCTGAGGTGAAGGAGATGGAGCCAGAGGCCTGACAGCTTTGGGATGATGGAGCATGAAGATTGTACATATCAAGCCCATGCCTAGCAAAACTGTAGCACTAAAGCTGCACCAGCTTTAGTACTACAGCTTTTGCCAACGGGGAATGGGAATGAGTCTGCTGTTAGTGCCAAGGATGTTCCCGAACTCTCATGGTCAAGGATCATACTTGGTTTCTTCCTTACTCATGTCAACACCCTTGTTAAATGGCTTCTCTAAAAGCCTGATTCTGCACACCGTTTCTCTGAGTGGACCTTTGATGTCAATCTCCAATTTTTAGCTCAATGTTTTCATTTCTCCCTCAGCAGACGGTTCCAAGAGAAGTCGGTTCAGGCCCCTCTCCAATCAGTTTGCGGCCGGGTTTGTTTATCCCACAATTCGCGATGCGTTCAGAAAAAACAAGATTGGACTGTTTGGTTTTATCCCTTCTCCTGATGTCATCCTGACACAGGGACTTTAACCAGTTGATTCCTTCTTCTGTCCATTCCTTGGAAGGTCCACTGTGTAGAGGCCCTCTATTCGCCGCGGACGGGCGCGGGACCCTGACGACCTGTCGTTGATGTCGATTTTTTGGAGCTACTCAGGGTCTGAGAGATTGCCATCAGGCTCTCATCCAACCTGCTTTTGTTCTTTGGTGCGGAGAGACGTCTCTTTCGGATCATCTCTGAAACGCATTTGGAATCCCATCCTTTCGGTGCGGATTTTCAACGTGGATGCATGTGGATGCCATCATTTTACTTTTTGTGGTTGCAGCCTTCCCCCCACCAAAAGCGTTCGATTTTGATTCAGTGCAGTATTTTCGCGTTGGCTGCCCACCCCTAACGCGCATCCCGTGCGCCTCTATGTTGCATCATGGCCTTGTATAGTTTGCTTGACCTTGATCCACATGAGCCACTTTTGGATATACACAGTACACTCACTCCTTGAAATAATCATGGAAGTCGACAACCACCTGTTTGTAGAGGAAGCTGGTTCTTTCAAGCGTATGCCTCCATTCCTGAAGAATCTGCTCCACCTACAGGATTCAATTCTTCACAAATCGTATTCCTCGAATTTCTCAAAGTGAATGGCCTTTTTGCTCGTATTGGAACCTTCCAGCAGAAAGTCCGCAAAATGGTTCTTGCTGAAAAATCAGTTGATTCCTTGATGCCTTTATGCGAATGGCCATCCAATTGAACCTGGACCTGGTCGCAGCTAGTTAGTTAGTTACATGTTCTCATTAGGTTTCATGTGTTCTACTAGGGTTCAAAACCTTTTGTAGACTATCTTGTCTTTGCTAGTTGAGGTTTGTCAATGCCCGCTCGGTACTCGGAATGGTTCTTCCAAGGGCTGGTCGAGATCCGGGGTGGTCGAGATCCGTGCGTTCTGCTGGTGTAGAGGATTTCATGGTCATCCAAGAGGGCCATGCCATCCACTTCCGGGAGCGTAGATCGGGAAGGTCCCGTTTCCGGGGTTCGGTGCACGTTTCAAGCGCTGAGGGATCGTGGACTCGCATGGTTTTATGCAGGCGCCGACTCTGTGCAGACGACCACTGTGGGGTGGTGATGAAACTAGTAGAATTGAGTTGAGCACGGATCAAGAACCTGCCTCTCAAGAATCATTTGAGACCTGATTGTCAATAGGCACTTGACAGCTGCAAATGCTTTGGAATGTCGTGGATGTCCTGCGGGAGTCTAGATATCCGATATTCGTTTTGGACATGTCGATGATATAGTGATGTGTTGAGGCCTTGCTGACTGATGCCGAAGCACGGGGCACCACGCTGGCGCTTCGTACACGGGTGCGGGGTGGAAGGGTCTATGATGCAGGCAGGGAGAGGGGAGTTGATGGTGGGACCTAGTGAATGGGTATTGAAACTGAAACAACCACTGCATTTCAAACAAAAGTTCCACAAGGATAGTAATTTGAGCACATTAGTCAAATGCTAGGTGAAACAGAGAAAAACAATCAAAGTTCCAGAGCTTTGAGACTTGGGAGAAGGATGAAAGTAGAGTCACCCTTTCCGTCCTTTTGCGTTTGTTCCGCAAAAAGTTTACTGTTGGAGTTTTCTCTTAGGAAAAACACACACTGGCCATAGTCTTTGGCCGCCTCCTCTTGTCCTCTTGGTGTCCTCCTGTGCGAACCCTGTGTCCTTTTCTTGTCCTCCTGCTGTCCTCTGGCCGTGCTGGCGAGCACTGTGCCACCAACATTGGAATTCAAGGAGTTGACATGCTGGGGTCTATGCTGGCAGCAAAGTTAGTTCACGTACATGTCAGCATGAACTATTTCATGTACACGTAAGTAAGCTCACTTCACTCGTGTTGCGTGTTGCACTCATTTGAGGTGTGCTTCTTGAGTTGGAATCGGTGGACTCTGGAGACTTCTTCTTTTTGGAGGCAGGGTGAGTTTTTTTGGCTGGGCACTGCAGATAGGGGAGTGGTTGTCAGATTCCAGTGCTGCCAGACAGCAGCTGCTGTGTATTGCGAACCATTTTCTGTGCAGATCATTGGGTACATGACTAGCCTACTTAAATAGCCCCAGGTCCCTACTCAGTCCAGAATTGAATGTCTGGAAGTAATTTCACCTAAGTTAACATTTGCTGCTGGAGGGGGGGCCTTGCAGAAGACCAATAAACAATTTACATAAGAAGTGGTATATCGTATTCAGATTTGATGAGATATGCTTGAAAGCAGTCTCAATAAAACAACTAGTCATTCAGACCTGACACACCTATCATTTAAAGTGATTTCAAATGAACGGATCAGACACAGAGAGTCCTTGAAGGGGCGAGGGCGTGATAGGGCGTGAAAAACAGAAACACACGTACGCGCGCTGTGTTTTCAATTTGGGGGGGTGGGTCAGTTGTCAACAGGTCCTTGATTTGTGGCTGCTCTTTGTCTTTGCACTTTTCTTGCAGAGATTTACAAGGCACAAAAATTAATCCAAGGTACCTCAATTATGCACACATGGTCGATTAGTATTCGTATACATTTCTTTTATTACTAATCAGCACCCGTTACAAGGGGTCAATTATTTAGCCTACCCTGCCTCGATTCATAAATTAATTATTTCAGCAAGGCCCTCAGGGGGGGGGCCTCCCTAAGGCAGGGGCTATATGATTAACATAATGGACCCTACTGCAGCCCTTTTTGAGTATCAAGACAAGGTGCGTAAGGTAGCGGCGCTAAGAAGGAGGTTTATAACCCCTCTGGAGCTCTGATTGAAAAGGCCCTAGGCCACTGGGTTCAGATTTGGGGCCTTTGGACCCCCAAACAGCTGGACTGGTGAATAATTGCTGTTAGCACCACTCTGTACCAGGACATTGTGTCAAAGAGACACTAGTACAAGGAGAAGATGGAGGAGATCAGAGAAACCCTTCAGACTATAGCACAGAGTACGCTAGCACTTGGGGAAGGAAAGCTACAGTTCAATACAAAGACCAAGCTACAAGATGCCCAGAGTGGAAGAATCACGAGAGCTGATGAGAACTACTTTTGTAAAAAGAGGATATGGATTTCTTTGCACCAGGATACAAGAAGCTTGAGAACAGAGAGCAAAGAAAGAAAGAAGTGGAGCAGGCACTAGAAGGGATTACCCCTACGCGACAGGAGGTAGAAGGTCAGAAAGAAGATGACCTTGAGTGTGAACTACAATTGAGCCCATTGGATGTTGACAAAGTCTTGGTGAATGGAATAGAGTTGGCTAAGGATTCAGCTTTGGCAACTCTGAGGGCAGCTTGTTCATTTCCCGGCATTTCAGGCAGTGGCTCTAAGCTGAGGGTCTACACCAGGATCTTCAATCACAACAAAAAGATGGAATTGTTGAACGCCAAAAGCTTGGTGAGTGAAGCAAAAGCTCAGGAGACTAGAGTGGCATTGGGGCAAAGTGTGGCAAAGATGTCAGGTGAAGCAACTCAAGCAAGACACAGATTGACGCACATGCCATGTTCCAGTTGGTGTAAGGAGTGCTTTGAACATCGAGCGCGCCCAGATCGCCATGAAAGGACAGATGAAGTGAAGAGAGAAAGTATTCCTGAGGTGAGCTTTGGCTTTTCTGCTATACAAGAGGAAGAGACTCAGAAGCAAAGTCAGCAAGAGCAGTATGTTGGCAGGTTGCAACTGACAGCCAAACTCGATTCATTCATGTTGTGCCATTAGGGAGCAAAGGTGAATTTCGTCTAATTGTGCAAGAACTGATGAATTTCAATCAACTGTTAGGGTACTCAGCAATCACCCGAAGGAGTGGCAATTAGCCCGCAACAAGGATCCCCAAGATGCTGACCAACGCTCGACACAGTCTAGGACTCACTACCAGATTGGTTACCTCAAAGCTTGGAGATCATTCATTTCTTTCAGAGTACACAGTTGAGGTTGAGAACGCTTGCAGGAACTTTCATTGAAGGTGTGCAGTCAAGACTTCGCATCAAAATTGGATCAGATCACGCACTTTGGACTTGGGCAGCAAGACATGCCAGTTGGGTGCTTAACAGATTTCAGCCAGTCAAAGGAGCAACTCCCTATGAGCTTGTCTATGGCAAAAGTTAGAAGGGACTTCTAGTAGAGTATGGTGAACCAGTTCATGGTTACATCAATCGTCTCAGCAAAGGAGAAGCGAGATTGCGTTTACGCTTGTTCTTGGGAAAGGTTGAAAGGCAGGACACCTATGTACTCACAGACGATGCATCAGAAGAACAGGAAAGATTTCTAGACGGTACAAGTGCCAACAGATAGCAACATGGCAGACCTCAACACAAAGCCACTAGGAGGACAAAGAATCAGATATTTGATGAACCTAATTGGTTACTGGCGCAGTGAAGACCAAAGTGAGAGTAGGAGAATTCTGAAAAGAAGAATTTTGCAGGGAAGGTCAACAAAATTGCAAAATGATGGTGAGAATGGTAGCGTTGGAGGGCTGTGCCGCGCGGCCGTGTCCGGCTAACTCGCTGCTGTTTACAATGCATTCGCGCCGCTCGAAATTGTCGACGCGCACTCCGACTGCGCAGGCTCGCTGAATCTGGGTGTCTGCGGCGGGTGCTTCTAACGACTGCGCTCTCGTTGTGGCGCCGTGTGCATTTTCGCACATGGTGGTGACTTTCCGTGGCAGGCGCAAGAGAAAGCTCGTGTTTTCGTGGTTGAAAGTCGACTTTTCGTGACAAGTGCAAGGGATCGGAGTGGTTCTACTTCAAACTGCAGTCTTCGTGGCAGGCGCAGCACTTTGGCCATGGTGGCGATACTCGACGACGAGCTCTGATTTCGTGACAGGTGCAGTGTTTCGACGTGTGGCTCGTTTGCAGATTTTGCAGGTACAGCACTTTGTGAACCTCGATGTTCAGACTTCGTGGCAGGCACAGCGCCACTTTGTGAACCTCGATGTGCAGATTTCGTGACAGGCATAGTCACAGCGCTTTGTGAATCTGAACGTGCAGATTTCGTTTCAGGTACAGCGCTTTGAACCTCGACGTGCAGAGTTCGTGACAAACGCAGCACTTTGTGAACCTCGAGGTGCAGATTTCGTGACAGGCATAATAGCACTTTGTGAATCTCGACGCACCTCAATGTGGACAGGCGCAGCACTTTGTCAACCTCGAAGTCAGGCGCAGCACTGGCGAACCTCGAAGTGCAGATTTCGTGGCAGGCACAGCGCTTGGTGAACCTCGAACTGGCAGGCGCAGTACTTTTGGCTCTCAAATTGCAAATGGGTGCAGCACTTTGTGCTCTCAGACTCACTCTCCCTCTCACTCTCACTCTCACTCTCACTCTCACTCTCACTCTCACTCTC